TTGGGCTTAGTTGGGTCATGTAAAGCCACAAAGTCAATGACTTTATGGATTAAGACATTGAAGAGGACTTGGATCTGTGATTGTAGCCTTTAGAATAGAGTATTAAGTGCTTAATGAGAAAAGTGACTTAACAGAGAAGTATGATGGGTGTACATACATGTACGCGCATCGTACAAGCTATTCAACTGTACACTTAGCGTACAAAGGAATACGCCCCACGTACTCAACAAAAGTGGGGTTTGCGTGTTTTGGGCCTCGGATTGGGCCATATATTGGACTTGTTTCCTTGGGCCTTAGTGGGCCATTAGAAGACAAATATTTTAGTCTAGAATATGTTTAGGCTTTAGGGTAAGGCCCATTAGAGGGATGAGGCCTAATTTAGCAAATTGGGTCGTTAATGGGCCACTAGTGGTTTTAGGAAGTCTACCTACTATTGGGCCTTTCATATTCTGGTTTTGGGTCTAACGTTGAGGCCTATGTGAAGGGATTGGGCCTAGTTGGAAATTGGGCCATATATTGGGCCTTGTGGAAATATTGATCTTTTGGGCCAAGGTTAGGGTACAGTTCAATTTACGACAAGAGTATGAGAGGGCTATAATGGTATTTTACCCCTAGTGAGGACTCATGGTTAGGTTATGACAATCCCGGACTCATCTAATTTGTATGATGATCAGTAGCTCGGGGAGTCGAGAGATCAGCAGTTCAGGGATCCGCCAGCTAGCATCAAGAGGTCTATTCGCGGGATTCTGCAGTCAGTCTGTGAGGTGATTTTCTCCAGTAGGAACGAGTCAAAGGCACCAATGCCGGTCCGCTTATGTATGTTACTGTATACCAGATTTAGATATGATGTCGGGGTTAGCCCGATGTAGTTTATATGTTTCTTGATTTCGGTCCGATGTCGGGCGAGACCTGAGGAAGGTTTATATGTATGTTTTCGAACTACGGTTCAATGTTGGGTGGTACCCGAGGAAGGAATGTATGTTTAGTTATACTTGTTGTCTTTGTGATACTTGTATGTGCCTGGTAGGGAGGTGATGTGGTCAGGGACTCGTATCTCATTAGTAGCTGAATTTGGACGGGGTTCCATATCTCATTATTAGCAGAGTAGGGGCGGGGCCCAAGATAGGTGGGGACTTGAGACTAGCAGTTATAGTATTGTGTTTGTCTATTATGTACTAGCATGATTATGTGTTATTGTTTGTATATGTACAATGGGCAGGGCCCAAAGATAGGCGGGACCTAGTAGAAACAGATATGTATACCGAGCAGAGCTCGATGCCAGGCGAGGCCTGATGCCATATCCGTCCGATGCTGGGCGGGGCCTTATGTAGTGGGCTAGGCCCAATGTATGTTGTTATGTGATTATGAGTATGGTATGTGGTACTTTGGGGAGACTCACTAAGCTTTGTACTTATAGTTTTCAGTTTTGGTTTCAGGTACTTCCAGTAACAAGGGGAAGAGCTCAGGATGACTGCAGTGCACACACCATTGATTTAGCCTGGGATGTTTTTACTCTGATATTTTTACATATGATTTTGATACAGTATTTTGTTATAATGATTTGAGATACATGATTTATGACCTTCGTTGTGATGACTCATGAAATATGGTTTACTTAAATGATTTTAAAAATGAAATTTTCGGACTATATTTTTGGGATGTTACAAAAATGATCATTTTACCCCTAGTCAGAGTCAACATTTTGGGTTGAACCAACTCGCCGAGTTGCTTCATCAACTCGCTGAGTCCTAGAACCTTGAAATCGCGATCTAACTAATCAAGTCACCTACTGACTTGTCGAGTTCCCTGGCTACTCATAGTCGTGATTTGGCTAATTAACTCATCGAGTCCCTTCATAGACTTGTCGGGTTCTACCTTAAACTAAATCAGGACAACGCGATTCAAGTCGTCGAGTTCCTCTATGGACTCGACGAGTTCCTCAGTCTGTTTGGCCATCTTAATAGATTAAGCCTCTACTTTCTAGATCCAAAGTCCATACTTCTACATACTAAAAGTGCCCTCTTAAGGGTAAAGTTTCCAACTTTACCCATTAATAGTCCTTCTTAATGGGTTTAGCTCAAACCTTAATTCTTTAGAACATAGATAATTGTCCAAAAGCCATAATACTCCAAACCAAAGCATGAAAACCAAGATCTAGGTCCTAGACACCAAGTGAACACGTAAAGTCTCAGACTTTCCTTCCATGCATGGCCTTTTGGGCTTAAAATGGCCAAACTAACACCTTAGAGCTTACATGGGGACTTTAATGGAATAAATTTTGCACCTTTATGCCTTAACAACCCTTAATGATTCCAGATCTTAAGGGATCCTTCCTGAAGGAACGTCCATATCCCAAGGGTCAATCTTCTTGGACCCAAAACCCAATAAAGTGGAAATAAAGAGATCTAATAAACTAATAGACAAGTTAGAGGCTCGATTACCAGAAAATGAAGGGAACGAGATTTTCTTCTGGATCTAAAATCTTTTCTTGGAGTCCTCTAGCTTATTCTTCTTGTACAAGCTTCAAATCACACAATATCACTCAAAAATGGTTCACAAACTCACACAATGCTCTAGGGTTTCGTGGATTAGGGTTTGGGACTTGGAGGCTGGAAATGAGGCCATAAGGTGGGGATTAAGATGCTTAAATAGGGTGCAAAACCCTGAAATTAAGGTTTCACTCTAGAAGACCTACTTGTCGAGTAGATTGCTTAAAACCCTGCGTCCAATCTCGTTTCTACTCGACGAATCCGGGGCTCCCAACTCGTCGAGTAGCTTTACAAAAATAAATAAATTATAATTAAATGCGTACCAAGAATTAGACGTTACATTAATACCCTTGGTTTATTTGATTTCTATTTTTCTTTTGTTTTTTAAATCAAATACTTATTTATTTATTTAAACAATTAAAAATACAGAGGGCCCCACCTCTTCTCTCTCTCTCTCTCTTTCTTTCTCTTTCTCTCTCTCTCTCTCTCTCTCTCTCTCTCTCTCTCTCTCTCTCTCTCTCTCTCTCTTTCTTTCTCACACACACATACAAAAAAATAAGGAAACCCCTTACACACATACTTCATACATATACACGCACTAAACATTAATCTACACAAGGATCTTGAAAAATTAATTTGTCTTCTAGTCTTTGTATCATAATCATTTCATCTTCAAGGGAAGATCATGTTAAGTGGAAGGAAAAAAAAGGTTGAAGAAGAAAGCAGTGTGGGTTATTGGTTCGATCCAGAAAAGAAAAAAGAAACAGGGGATACATAAATGTGTTTGATGATGAGCGATGATGTTGTCTGAGATGAAGCTTGTGGGTTGTTGAAGGGGAATGGGATTCATCAGAGGTGCGTTTATGAAAGCATCAGTGGGGTTCGATGGATGAATAAATGATGAGAGATGTCGACAATGGGGTTGAGGGGTCAATTATTGAAGAAATTAAGGTTTCAATTTTTGGGTTTAAGGAAAACAATAAGAACACAAACCTCCAATCACCACCACTTCCAGTGCCAATGGAGCCACCATCGATTCAGAATCATGTCCAGGTACTAATTTTCGATTTAAAGGTCTTCAATGGTTTCAATGAAAATGACTATTATTAGAACATAACTTCAGAAGATGCAAATATGGAGTTTTTAAGAAGCCATTCTTCCCACAACCATTGATGACATTTTGAAGAAGCAAAGCAAGAGCATTAGCAGAAGATGCAGATCTGGAACCCTCAATCTTTATCTCCCAAATCCAATTTGTGTTTTTGTTGTGAATATAGTTTTAGGAAGCAAAATTTTGTATTAGAGACCTTAGGAGTAGGAGATAAAAATGGCAACGGGTTGGGGATACATAAGGAGGGTCACTAGTGAAGTGGAAGGGAGCACGATGGAGGTAGGGGTGGTGCTTATTTGATTGTTACGCCTAGATCTCCTACTTCTTAATGAAAAATGAAAGATGCTTTTAATGAATTTGGTATTAAGTTCATGAGTTCCACAAACATAAAACGAAAATCCATCTCATATTTCAAAATATGAGGATGAACACACATACACACCAATTCGATTTCAGATTTGATTTCAAGGAGTTCATGTGGATATGTGTTGAATATATATATATATATATATATATATATATATATATATATATATATATATATATAAAAGGATGAAGCATGTGACTTTGCTTCAATCTCTATTTTTAAGGTAATCAATAGATTAAAATCTTTTAATTTGCTTGGATAAGCTGATTATAGAGGAGACCAATGTACCTTTCTTTGGAGAGAGAGAGAGAGAGAGAGAGAGAGAGAGAGAGAGAGAGAGAGAAGAGAGAGAAGAGAGAGAGAGAGAGAGAGAGAGAGAGAAGAGAGAGAGAGAGGACCCTTTATATATTTAATAATTATAAAATATTTAAGAAAAAGAAAGTAAAATGAAAAATAAATATACTAAAGGTATAATAATCTATTCGAGAGACCAAAAACGCAACGAAATTAGTTCAAAAGAACAACGAAGCCAAAAAAATCAAGGATTTAATTAAAACTTAGAAAAAAAATACATATAACATTGAACATTTTGCTGTTTTGTCTAAAGTAAATTTATGATATTTTTTTTGTTTTGAAAGCAATTTATTAATTTAAAGTGATTTCTAAATGTTCGTTGTGTTTTACATTGGTTGACTTAGTGTCTAGGGACTAACATATTTATTTTGTTTTTTTTATTAAAAGAAAGAAAATAAGAAACTGATAAAATAAAGGTAGATATAAGTATTTAATAGGAAAATCTAACAGAGATATTGAAAGCCACAAGGACCAAACTAATACCAATTGTAAACTTGGATTAAAATTATAATATTCGACAAATCACAAAAGGATCACACTAAAATTGAGTCAAAATTTGAAGTTATTTTCTTTAACAAGACTAGTTTAATAAATATCTTTGTTTTTACAAAAAAACACATAGCACTTGGTGTCATGTTTCTCATATACAAAAGTACAAAATAGTACAGAAAGAGAGCCCATGGAACATGCCTTTATTCACTCCTTTCTGGAACCTCCACGTGTTTTACGGTTACGATTTTGGTTGCCAACCCAACCACCTCACCAGTCACCATTCTCGTTCTCTTGCCTCCCACCGATTGCGGCCATCTTGATTTTTACTCACAGCACACCGCCGTTCGCCGGAGATTCAGACGGCACTACCATCACCACCACCACCACCGTATCTCCGGTGATCAGTCGCTTCCCTAAATCAAAACAAACAAAATGTTAGTGCTGTCATTTTAATCAATTTGATACAAACCGTCGATTTTGTTATTTTGGAAACAATATCACTAGTGTGGTGCACCCATGATTTCTAGTTGTGGTACTTCAGATTCAGATTCGGTTGTTTATCTTCATGGCGACCTCGATTTAACGATCGCCGAAGCTCGATGTTTGCCAAATATGGATTTGTTATCGGACCGTATGCACCGCTGCTTCACGATCTTCGATTTGTGTAAATCGCCTTCATGGAAGAAGAGAAGCAAATCTCAACACCGTCGTAAGATCATTACCAGTGATCCTTACGTGACCGTAAGTATTGGGGGAGCTACCATCGCACGAACGCGCGTGATATCAAACTCCCAAAACCCTGTCTGGAACGAGCATTCTATCACGCCGCTAGCGCATCCGGTGTCGCAACTTGAGTTTCAGGTGAAAGACAATGATCTTTTCGGAGCGGATTTGATCGGAATCGTCGTCATCTCCGCCGAGAGCGTAATGTCGGGAGAGTTGATCGACGATTGGTTCCCGATAATCGGTCCTAGTGGTAAACCGGCAAAACCTAACACCGCAATACGATTACAGATCAAATTCACCTCTTGTGATGATCGGAACAACGAAAAATCAATTGCCACCGACGAGTTATTCGGCCTGAAGGATAGTTATTTTCCGGTAAGACACGGAGGGAATGTGACGCTGTATCAGGACGCGCACCTCCATGAGGGGCAGTTACCGGAGATCGAATTGGACGGAGATAACAAAATTTTCAAGCAGAGAGGGTGTTGGGAAGACATATGTCATGCTATCCTGGAAGCTCATCATATGGTGTACATCGTTGGGTGGTCAATTTACGACAAGGTGAGACTGGTTAGAGAACCTAGCAAACCATTGCCAAGTGGTTGGGATTTAACTCTTGGAGAATTGCTGAAATACAAATCACAAGAAGGTGTTAGGGTTTTGTTGCTGATTTGGGATGACAAGACTTCACACAACAATCTCTTCATCAAAACGGTATGAATTTCATCTCAAATCCTTCGTCTAACATCGGTTTTTACTTCATCTTCATTGATTATTTAGGAGGGAGTTATGCAAACTCACGATGAAGAAACACGCAAGTTTTTCAAACACTCCTCTGTCCACTGTGTGTTATCACCTCGATATGCAAGCAATAAGCTTAGCATTGTCAAACAACAGGCATGCTTCATACCTCAATGTTCATCCTATTTCTCCTTTATCTAGACTTCTAAATGCTAGCATTCCCAAACTCTAAAGATTTCTGAAAGTTCCAAAATGATATACACAGGTGGTAGGGACGCTTTACACCCATCATCAAAAATGTGTTATAGTAGACACACAAGCCCATGGAAATTACAGAAAGATCTCTGCTTTTATTGGTGGTTTGGACCTCTGTGATGGACGCTATGATACACCAGAACACCGTTTATTTCGTGATCTTGACACTGTGTTTGAAAATGACTACCATAATCCAACACTTCCTGTAAGTTTCTAGATTATTTTATCTAAATTCATACATGTTACCTTATTTAATGGACAGATTTTCCACAATAGCCAGGTATAAAAGGTCCAAGAGAACCCTGGCATGATTTACATTGCAAAATCGATGGTCCTGCTGCATATGATGTGCTCAAAAACTTTGAACAAAGATGGAGAAAAGCCACAAAATGGTCTGAATTTGGACAAAAATTCAAAAAAATAAATCATTGGCATGATGATGCATTGATTAAAATAGAACGTATTTCATGGATACTCAGTCCTTCATCATCTCTTCCAAATGATGATCCTTCTTTGTGGGTTTCTAAAGAAGAAGACCCCGAAAACTGGCATGTTCAGGTTTATTTCTAATAAACTTCTTTTTAATTCTTTTCTGCAACCCATTTATTTGTTTGGTAATATGGTTGAAATCTTTTAAACCTTTACAGGTTTTTAGGTCTATTGATTCTGGTTCTTTGAAAGGATTTCCAAAAAATGCCCAAGTAGCTGAATCTCAGGTGTGTGTATTAAAGAAGTTATTTTTATAAGATAAAGTTATTGAATCTTTTTTAAATCCACACTTTATTTTATTTTATGGCAGAATCTAGTATGTGCAAAGAATCTTGTGATTGATAGGAGCATTCAGAAAGCATATATCCAAGCCATAAGATCTGCCAAGAACTTCATTTATATTGAGAATCAGTATTTTCTTGGATCATCATATGCATGGCATTCCCATAAAGATGCAGGTTTTAACACTTTACATTCACAAAAAAATCAATACAAAGAATTTAATAAATAATATCATCACATTATTGCCTTATTTGAACTTTCCTTCTTCCTATTTATTTCCATAAAAAACTTTCAACATTTTTTTGTAAACAGGTGCTGATCATTTAATCCCTGTGGAACTTGCATTAAAAATTGCAAGTAAAATAAGGGCAAATGAGAGATTTTCAGTTTATATTGTCATTCCAATGTGGCCTGAGGGTGTTCCTTCTTCTGCATCTTGTCAAGGAATTCTATATTGGCAAGTAGGTGTCTTTCCACTTTATTTAAATCCCAAATTTTATTGTTGAATGTCATTTTTGTAGAAAAAATAAAATAAAATAATACACATAACCCTTCTTTAAAGCTTTTGAAAATGCCAAATGATAGGCACAAACTATGCAAATGATGTACGATGTAATAGCTCAAGAGCTAAAGAATTCAAACCTTGAAAATTCACATCCGCAAGACTACTTAAATTTTTACTGTCTCGGAAACCGTGAACAATGTGAAGAATATGTCTCAAATTCAAGCAGCCGATCTTCTAATGGCGTTTCGGTAATTTCATATTTCTTATACTACCTTCTAATATCTTTACTTTATTGTTAAGAAGTTTTAATTTGTTTATATATATGTTTTTCTAGGTTTCGGCTTCTCAAAAGAAAGGAAGGTTCATGATCTATGTACATGCTAAAGGAATGATAGTAGATGATGAGTATGTGGTATTGGGGTCCGCAAATATTAATCAACGCTCTATGGCGGGTACAAGAGATACCGAGATAGCTATGGGCGCGTATCAGCCGCATCACACGTGGGCCCACAAGAAAACACATCCACGTGGTCAGGTTAGTATACAATACACAGTACACAGCGTAATGAAATAAAAACTAGTTATGATGACCGTTAATTTTTTTTTTAATATTGTAGGTATATGGATATCGAATGTCACTATGGGCAGAACACACGGGAAAACTAGAAAATTACTATAAAGAGGCAGAAAGCTTATCTTGTGTGAAAAACATAAACATGCTTGCGGAAAATAATTGGGAAAAGTTTACAGCGGATGAGTTCAGCCCCTTACAAGGCCATCTTCTTAAGTATCCGATTAAAGTTGATAGTGATGGAAAAGTAACTTCTTTACCGGGACATGAACAATTTCCTGATGTTGGTGGTAAGGTTCTCGGCTATCCATCCACTCTCCCAAATGCTTTAACTACATAACATTTACAATCATTCGTATTTTTGTACACGTAGGAATTGAGGTAAATATGCTCTTGTAGATTGCGTGTTGTACCCCGTTTTTTCTTTTACATGTTTTAGAAAATCAAAATTGTGAGAAATAAAAGTTTATATAGTTTTGTAATGTTTTTTGCTGTCTTTGTTGGAAAAAAAAAAAAAAAAAAAAAAAAAACGATTTTGGACATGATTATATATTGATATTTGTGGTCTATTTATGTTTGGAATGTATAGAGCAAATTAAGTCTCTGAAAACTCTTCTATTAAAACAAATTGATCAACTATACTTAAATAAATAAATAGGGATTAATTAGTTGACTGTGATCTTGCCAACCATACCAGCACCTTGATGGGGTGCACAGTAGTAACTGTAGGTTCCTTTCTCAGTCAACGTTACTGTGTACGTGTCACCTGGTCCATTTAACAAGTCCTCTTCACTCATCGATATCTTGGAAGCATCAACACCCGCCGGAATCTCGTCTTCATCAAACACCACGTTATGTGGGAAACCTTTGTTGTTCTTGAAAACGATCTTCTCACCGGAGGCCACGGTGATACTCGACGGAACAAAACTCAGGCCACCGTCTTCGTCCCCAAGCAAGATTTCAGCAGCAAGGGCGTTGCTTGCTAGTAAGGCGCTGGCGGCAAAGGCCACACTTGCTATGCCGGCGGCTTCTTTCAGTGAGGCTTTGATGGAAAACTTGGGGGTGGCGGAGACTAGGTTGACGGTGACTTTTGAAGTGGTGGCTGATCCGGCGGATTTAAGGCCGGTGAATGAAGGGATGGCGACAGCGGAAGAGGATATATTTGCCATTTTTGTTTTGTTGGAGGAAGAAGATAAAAGAGGGGGGAGGAGTCTGGGTTATAGATATATAATGTGTGGTTCGAAAGCCTTAAAGGCAAAGTTTGGTAGTATTAGATAACATGATATGAGCAGAGAGATGACATCTTATATGGATTGATGGTGGCTGACTCAAATGATATAAAATAAGTTTTGACTTATAACTAAATCGAAAATAGCAGAAAAATCTTGATGGATTTTTTTTTTAAGATTTTGCTTTAAAACAGATTTTTTGCCGTTAAAGTCGGTTTTTACTTAGCTGTCGGTTGACTTGACAAGACATGGGAATGCTGATGGGGTTTTCCGGTTGCACACATCGCCTAAAATAAAAAACAATGTTGTAAAGACGTACAAAGGTAATCCTTCACATATAAAACTTTTTTTCATAGCTCAAATTGCTCAAAAAGATAACTACTCATATGATAGTTACTGCCACGGTTAAATAGCTTTAAAGAGTAATAACAATAAATATTTATCTTACAACACTAGCAACTCACAACTAGACCTGACAAAACATGACACGGTACGAAAACCTGATACGAAATTAACGGGTTAGGGTCAGAGATTTCGACACGTTTATATAAGTAGGTTGACACGACACTACACGATAATTAAACGGGTAGGATTAGGGTCAAGACTTTCAGCTCAAAGATGACTCGAATATGACCGTTAGTTTATATATTATTAATTATATATTTCATATTTTTAATATATTTTGGTGGGCCAAACTCAATAATTAGAAGTAATATTCAAATTTTCAAAGTTATTTAATTTTAATCATCATCACCACCTATCCATTTTGCTCCTTAACTTTAACTCTTTTCATTTGTCCTTCTAAACTTACTATAAAATTTTTCATTTCATCTCATAACACCAGTGTTTCACTTTTTCCTTTTTGCCTCTATAAATCCTATTTTCCAACCTTTAAAATATTTCAACCCGACATGACACAACATATTTACAAGATCTAAACCTTAACCCGAAACTTAACACGAAACCGACACGAAAATAAATGGGTTGACACGACACGACACGATAATTAAACGGGTCGGGTTAGGGTCAAGCCCTTTCAACCCTTTTAATGTATTTACACGACACGAACCTGACAAGACATGATAAGGATGAACAGTTTGTCCCAAATCCCGATCCCGTACCGGAACCGGTACCGAACCGTATCGAATTTAAAAACACGGGAAGATACTTGGTACTCCAAATACATGAAATTCGGGAATCGGTACCGCCGGTACCGGTACTAGTACCGAGTACCGGTACCAATTTATGGTACCGGTACCGGTGATGTTAATTCGGTTCGATACTCGTGGTTAACTTTCGATCAAATTCGGTATTCAGAAAATCGGGAACGGGACAGGTCGGTACCAGTTTCGTCCAACGCTCATCCCTACGACACGATACGTTTGTCAGGTCTACTCACAACCTTTATGTTATGTGCTTTAACTATTTAAGATGTTATTTGTTTTAACTATAATAAAGATATCAATAACAATTTAAACTTTTGAAGCTAAATTAAAAATAGCATTTCTCAAGCTCTCAAGGAAAAATGTTTGAGCAGTAAAAGAAAAAAAAATAAATAAAATGCTCACCTTTTATTTTTTTGAGCTCGAATTGTTGAAGGAATAAATCAATAGCAATTCAAAAGTTAAGGTGTTGTTTATTTTTCTGAAGCTCAATTAAAAATAGCATTTCTCAAGCTCTCCAAGAAAAAATTGAAATAATGCTCACCTTTTATTTTTGAGTTCGGACTGTTGAAGGAATAAATCAATAACAATTCAAAGCTAAAGTGTTGTTTGTTTTTCCGAAGCAAAAATTTATGCGGACCACCTCTGCAATCCTCTGCACCAGAAGATGTGGACCAAACGACTACAGACTATAATAAGAAACGCGCTTGTTTTTTAACATCTGCATACTGTTGCAGATATTAAAAAAAATAAACTGATTTTATATACCGAAAATAGTTTTTTAATTTCGAAAATTTAATAATGTATGACATTTCAGCGAAAAAATAATGATATTTCAGCAAAATATAATGATATTTCAGTAAGAAATTATCATTATTCAATATAAAAAACGAACAAAATAATTCGTCAAGAATAAACAAAAAAATCGAAAAAAAGAAATGCAAAACAAGAATTTAGCAAGATTTCAGCAACATATAATCAATATTCAGTAAGAAAAAAAGTAGAAGAAGTTTGAAAAAGATTGGAATAGGCAATAGAAGTGTTGTCCCAAACAGAACACGCGCATAGGTTTTTTATTCTGAAGACATCTAAAAAACAAACAACTGCGAAATGAAAAGCGTTACGAATGTGTTGCGTCACGAGATAATATGAGTTCGGAAGAACTGTTACATAAAACAAACAACACCTAAATCTCAAATCATACCATCAACGAAGGTAAAACGTAAAAAGTAAAAACAGAAAAAAAAAAAATAAATAAATAAAAATAAAAATAAAAAAATCTAAGGTTGTAAATCATTTATGGTTCACAAAACCATACAAGAATATGACTATTCTCGATTGATCGTTGAGTAAGGAGACATGTCAACCCGTAAATGGGTAAATATAATAAAAAGCTGATTAAAATTTGACAATTTTCATTAAGTGGTTGGATCGGATAGGATTCTGATCTTATGATCACGATTCCAATCCTACGATCCAATTTGTCATCTTACAAATGAAACGATCATATTGCGATCTAACAAGGTTTTCATAAGTTGAATTTTAGGATCTTACGATATTACAATCAAGATCCCGATCTTAACAGTTTTGATAAGGGAAAATGAATTATCAAGGTAATTAACGTTTCAGTATGTTTACATTTGGGTAGCTATCTTTTTTTTGTACACATATAGGTAACAAACTTGTTGAAGTGTTCACATATGATCATTATGACCTGCTATAGCAGGTTACATCCTAGATGTGAACTGTAACATCCCAAAAATACAGGCTAAAAATTTCGTTTCAATTAAGTTATTACATAAAACCATTAGTATAAAAACATTAATAATAGTATCTGATGTCAAAACCAAAGTGTCAATAATCATAACTTAATATCATAAAACCATATCAGAGTGTAATCTTAAGGATCTCGTGTGCGGAAAACATGGTGTGATGCGCTGCGATCGAGCCGGCTCCCTTCCTTTGAAATGAAGTACCTGAAACCAAAACCGAAAACCGTAACCACAAAGCTTAGTGAGTTCCCCCATCATACCACATAATGCCTACCCCTCGATATCTTTCAACCAGTATTTTCCTGGCATAACTGGGAGCTAACCTCCCCTTCGGTATCTTTCAACCGGTAACCGGGAGCTAACCTCCTTTTCGGTATCTTTCAACCGGTATCCGGGGACTATTTCACCCCTATCACTATTACATAATAACAGGTCATAAACATATTGGTTCCATGATAACATAACATAAACATATTGAATTACATAATGGCATATCATAACCATATTGGTCGTATAATATCATATCATAAATATACTACTCACATAATGGCATATCATAACCATACAGGTCACATAGTAACATATAATAAACATACTGCTAGGCATGCATGGCTTCTGTCCACCCCTTCGGTATCTTTCAACCGGTATCCGTCTTCGGTATCTTTTAACCGGTAACCGTCTTCGGTATCTTTTAACCGGTAACTGGTGACTATTGCACCCCTAATACTACTAACACATATCTCATAGCATCCCAACACAATAAGCATATCAAATAATGGCAACCAGATAATTATCACAAAGACAATCATCTCAAACATAATCACCTACTGGTGGGCCGACATTGGTGCCTTAGACCCACCCCTACTGGAAGGTAACTCACTTCACATTGTTGAAGTCCCACATACTCAACCCCCACATTGCTGAAGTCACGCAGACTCAACCCCAACTGCTGGATAACAGATTCCTGAACTGTTAACTCCAAAATAACACCTAATTAATAATTGGGTCCCAACACATAATCATCAATACATACTTGGATAATTACTACATTACCCTAAGTTTGGCTTTATTCAAGCCCAAGGCCTAATCCATAGGCCTAAAGTCAACTATGAATTGAATCCCAACATATTGCCCAATTTTTCGAATTGGGCCCAAACCTTTGCATGGTCCTATTTTAAGGCCCAACCAAAAGTCCAGTCCATCATTTGGTATTTTATTGGCCTAATATCTCATAATCACAAAGGCCCAAACTATGGCCCATTTACGACCCAATTTTCCAAATTGGGCCCACACCCTCAAATGGGTCTTATCCTAAGCCCATCAACATATTCTAGTCCATAAGATTATTCTTGGATGGCCCATTAATAATACAATTACCAACGCCCAATAGAAAGGCCCAACTCAAGGCCCAAGTGAATTAGGGTTTCACATAAAATGACGATTAAGGTTAAGTGTTTCTCACTTAACCCATTAATGACTTAACCCACTAAGGACTTAATCCACTAAGGACTTAATCCATTAAGTTCAATATTGCTTAGATTAATTTGTGCCAATGATTATTATTTGATATTTCAAGTTATTAAATAATTTACGTATGTGTCCCGATAAATTCTCACAGTTAGGGTTTTATTGGCATTAGGGTTTTCCAAACCCTAATTAGGGTTTCTAACCCAAATACTAGCCCATTTATCAATTTGTTGGGCCTTTAGGTCAATTAGGGCTTTATTGGGCCTATTAGGCCCACTAGAATATCATTAAGCCCAGTAGTCACATGCTTGGGCTTTTAGGTCCATTAAGCTTCATTGGGTCCATTAGGGCTTATAAGGCCCATTAAGGTTTCGAGCACCCCAAATGAATCAAGCTCAACGAAGCAAGCACACCGCCACCTGACACGGCTACCGGTAGCGGCAACCACCACCCTAAGGTGGTGGTTTTCAATTTCTTTCCATTATTACACTTTTCTAATTACATTTTACAATGGTAATATCCAAAATAACTCACATAA